AATTCCTTAATGTATTTACCTTAGCAGAAAAACCCTTCATTCGAGTAAGAAATGGTAATCCTAGCATACCCGTTGGACTTGATATCAATACCACATCAATAAAAGAGACATTCCACAGGTGCAAGTTCTTGACAGTTTTGTACCAAGGCTCTGCATAAATTAAATCATCGGCATCCAGGGGCTTTTCGACTTTTTGTCTCTTCCGAACCATAGGCTCCTCCAAATCTGAAGAATCACTACGGTTTGGGCAACTGGGATTCTCTTTATCGAAGGAACTGGATTTTGAACTAGTAGGAATAGGGGAGAAGATTGTAAGAGCTGAAAGGTCTAATGGGCAATCCAATAAAATGCTAAAACCACATATGTTGAGTATGTGACACGGTGGGAAATGGTAACCACCACCTTTGCTCAAGCAGGACTGCAAAAACAAAACAAAAAACAGAATCATAAAAATAACGTATAAAAAATAATCCCCAGAATTTTTTTTTAATATTTATATATGAATAATCCATATGTATGTAAATATTGACAAAGAAACTTACAAACTTCATTGGCAACACACGAACACTGGAGCGTTCCCCTGCAACAATAACTTCTAATCATTCATGAAGAGAAAAGAGATTTAACTCTTGGGTGCTGAGGCTGTATATTAAACTAGGATCCTCCATTCACATTCACTTGAAAACCTTTTTTTTCTCCTTTTGGGAAATAGTCTCAAGCTATAAACCTAAACAAAGCAATGAGGGTAAATTATGAAGTTCATCAACCAATGAACTAAGTGGTACATAGGAAATCCCAGTGAACCTTATAATGCTACAACAATCAATGCTTCAACATAACCAGGAATTAATACTATAATCTTATTCAAAGCTAACCCTGAAGATATCAAAAATCGAAGTGGGTATTAATGATTCAATAGCTAAAGCAAAGTAGAGGAAAAAGAAACAAAAGAATAAGGAGGAATGAGGGCAAAGTTAAATTACTTTTGAATCAGAACCCCCAATTCTGCTCTGCTCTGTCCTTAGGATATTTCGGCAATAAGCAGTCAGCCAAGTCGGCCAAGCAAGGTGGTCAAGTGACCCCCCAACGCAATAAACCGCCGCCTGAGCCAGATTTCTTGTGCCCCGGACTGCTGGAAGTCTAGGCAAGCATTGCCCCCCCAAATGTTCGACGTTTTGCCCCAATGAACCAACAGGCACTTGTCAAAAAAAAGAGTCTGGGGAAACATCAACATCAAAAGGTGGGGCAGGTTGGGTGGTCAGAAACCATGCTGGTTTGCTGTTGAAGGAAGGGAGGGCTTTAGTCAATCTGCTCTCATGGCGGAAGCAGAAGCAATACAACAGAATAGAGGTGGAATCTGAATGTTCGTGCTATTGGAAAGGAATCAGATTTTTAGGTTTAGGGAGCCTGGATTTCTGCTGGAATTTAAATTGTCCAATAACAAGTTAATGAGGGGGAGAGAGTGGAAGTTTTAATCTTAACGATGTTGATTTGTTTTGAGGAGATTAGGGTTGGACTTGGAGCAAAATAGCCTCTTGACACTCTCACATGCGCGCCAATCAGGTTTTTTTTCAAAATTAATATATATATATTTTTTAATTATATATATTTTTTCTCCTTTTAGCTTTAATTATTAAAACAAAAGTATAAACAGGGCAAAAGAGTAGGGTTTTTTTTTTTTTTTTTTTTTGTTCTGACCACCAGTCTAAAATATAAAGGAGAGAAATTTCTCACACACAAGTATAGGAGTTTGAAACATGTGAGTTAAGGCTCTTTTCCGCTGTTCTTATTTAAATGATTAGTTAATTATCATTTTACCTTCAGGAAATTAAATTGTGGTCTTTTAGCACTTTAATTAATCAAGGGTATTTTAGGAGTTTTAGAAAGTTTCATCAAAAGTGGAACCCTTATACCCTTTAGACATAGATAAAGCTTGCATTGTGAAGTGGCTAGGGGTGGCATTTTAGACCGAAAAATCGCAAAAATCAACCGGCAATTTACTGCAATGGAACCGCAATTGCGGGAAATTGAACCGCATTTGCGGTATGAAGAACCAAACTGCATTTGCAGTTGCGGTTACGGTATTTGATTTTCAAAACTTGCGATTACCGCAAACCGCGACTATATTTTATTTTATTTTTTTAAAATTGCATTTTGTAGATAGCATTGGTGCTCAAACAACACAACGGGGTCCTTCAAATCCACTCACCACCACCAACACTTGAGTTTGTAACATTGGTGCATTGCATTTTCGTTTTAGTTTGTAACTTTAATTAACTTTGAATTGGATTTTTCCATTGGGTTGTAACTTTAATTCATTTTGCATTACATTTTCCTTTTGGTTTGTAACTTTAAAGGATTTGGAATTGGACTGCTTGCGAAGTTGCGGTTGTGAAATGCTTGAGAAGTTTAACTTTAATTGGAATACTTGGAATTGAAACTTTAATTTTCTTTAGGTTGTGAATACTTGAGAAGTTGAGGAGGTTGTGAATTTATATATACTTGAGAAGTTGAGGTTGTGAATTTATATTTTTGGGTTAAAGTATGCTTGAACTCAAAAGGTTTCAAAAGAAACATCAAAATTAGGCCTAAAATGTGGAAGATTGGATTTTAATTACACAAAAAGAACTTGCGGTTTTAAACCACTAATTCACAGTAACCAACCGCTTTTTGCGGTTTACCGCATTGTGGTAAACTGCAAAAAGCATTTGGTTGCAATTTGGGCAAAATTCGCTGTTACCGAACCGCAACCACCCCTAGAAGTGGCTGCAGCAAAATGAAATTTTGCTTTGTTCATCAGTGGCGGTTCTAGGATTTAAAAGTTACATACTAAACTCAACGGTATTAGTGGATTTCGTTAATAAACATATAAAGATACACATAATCAGAGGGACATTTTGAGCCTTACCCTCAAATGCATCTCTATCAGTAAATAAAAGTTTAACAAATACAAAAAGAAAAACTAGACAACGTAATCCTCAATCACACTTAAGATAATTGATATTAAAATCTTGATCATCATCGATATTTTGATTCTCAACTCTTTCAACTTGAGACTTAATAACAATGGGCGATTCAGGAAGATTTTGCCAAAGAAGAGAAATCAACATCTCAACAAAAACAAACCAATTCTCATAATAGCATCAATGCATTTAATCAAACATAACATCACAAATCAAACATCTCAAAAATACCAACAACAAATCAAACATCTCAACAAAATTCCTAAAATCAAAGCCCTAATTAATTTCAACAAAATTCCCCAATTTTAATTCATTCCTAAACCCTATAATACTCAATTTCAAATTAAAGATGTATAAGATAATTAAAAGGGAGAGAATGAGAAGAATAATTGTTGCCAAAAAGAGAAGTTATTGCTAGCCAGAGGAGAAGTTGATGTGGACAAGAGAAGTAGAGGAGAAGTTGCTGCAGAGAAGAGGAGAAGTTGCTACAGAGAAGAGGAGAAGTTGATGTGGACAAGAGAAGTAGAGGAGAAGTTGCTACAGAGAAAAGGAGAAGTTGTTGTAGACAAGACAAGAGGAGAAAAGCTGCCCATTCAATATATTTTTTGGAAAAATTTGGGTCCTGCCCTTATTACTCATTGTGTAATTTTTTCCATAAAGAAAGTGATTAGCTAATGCAAAACAAGGTTTATTTTGTTAATTTGGTTTTCACCTAGATGAAATCCAACAAGGGGCCAATCTTGAAATATCTTTCTTCTTATATTCCTATTTAGATTGGTGCACTAGATACTAAGTTATATCAGGTTTGATAGGAGTTTAAATTAGGTTATACCTAGGGCCCAAGACTTTGTGAAATAAGGAATGTTTTGAAGCCAATTGAAAGGGTTCAATTTATTTCCTTTTGCTTGAATCGTTGCTTGATGAGCTTAAAGTGTTAGTCAAGTCAACCATCAATGAGTAGAAACGACTTGACCTAACCCTATATAAGCTTATGATACAAGTGGATCCGCCGTACATAATACAATATGATATTAAATCCATATCATATTATTTTACTTAATTATCATTTTATTTAATTATTATAAACCCATTAAAAGTTTACGATTCAAACCTAATGGATTTGAAACCACTCAAACTTAAAGTTCTTTGACAAAAGAAAAAGAAAGCAATGGCAGAAGGAGAAGGAACCGATGCAAAGATTGCGTCGTTGGCCCAACAAATGGAGAAAATGACGCTGATGATGGCAAAGTTGGTGGAGGATCTATATGTCAAGAGAAGTAGAGGAGAAGTTACTATAGAGAAGAGGAGAAGTTGATGTGGACAAGAGAAGTAGAGGAGAAGTTGCTGCAGAGAAGAGGAGAAGTTGCTACAGAGAAGAGGAGAAGTTGATGTGGACAAGAGAAGTAGAGGAGAAGTTGCTGCAAAGAAAATGAGAAGTTGTTGTAGACAAGACAAGAGGAGAGAAGTTGCCCATTCAATATATTTTTTGGAAAAATTTGGGTCCTGCCCTTATTACTCATTGTGTAATTTTTCCATAAAGAAAGTGATTAGCTAATGCAAAACAAGGTTTATTTCGTTAATTTGGTTTTCACCTAGATGAAATCCAACAAGGGGCCAATCTTGAAATGCCTTTCTTCTTATATTCCTATTTAGATTGGTGCACTAGATACTAAGTTATATCAAGTTTGATAGGAGTTTAAATTAGGTTATACCTTAGGGCCCAAGACTTTGTGAAATAAGGAATGTTTTGAAGCCAGATGGTTCAAGTGGCAGCTTTTGAGGCAGAGTTTTGGACAGTCAGTACAAGATTATGGAGCCGAGTTTCAAAATCAGGCTATGGTGTTGGACCTAGACTTGGAATACCATAAACTCCTTATGAAGTTTATTGGGGCCTTGCAAGTGTATATTCGCAAAGAGTTGCGATTGTTCAAGGTTGAAGGCTTTGAAGAGGCAATAGTAATGGCAACTGCCATCGAATCAAAGAACAAGAAAGTAGACAAAAAAGGAAGACAAGAAGGATTCAAGGAAATTTGAAGTTGGGAGTAGAAGTAGTAAAAATAGAGAGCAAAGTTCTGGAAAGAAGCACACAAATTGCGAGTATTGCACCAAGCCAGGTCATAGTAAAGAAACATGTTACATTCTTCATCCCGAGCTTAGGGAGAAAGAAAAAGAGAAAAGAAGTAACCGAAAAGATCTTAAAAGAGCATTGAATGCTAACAAGACTGTGGAGATTCCAAAAATGGTGCAACCCGACACGAAGTTGACTCTCATGATCCAGAAGCTTGTTCCTCCAGAAGGTCATGAAGACTTTTTTAATGTTCATATACAGGTAAAGCACGATTTGATAGACAGTATAATTGATCCGGGAAGCCAAAAGAATCTCATTTCAGAGGTATTAGTCCGGAAGTTGCAGTTAACAACCACTCCTCATCCTAACCCATACCCGTTGGGATGGATACAGAAAGATGTTGAGTCACAAATTACTCGACAATGTACTTTCAAGTTTGCAATTACTAGAGAATACATTGACGAAGTGACTTGTGAGGTAGTACCATTTGATGTATACCAAGTAATTTTTGGTAGTCCAT